AAAGTACATATTTACATCTGGGACAAAAACAGAAATAAATTTCTTCTTGGGTTAAGCAGATTAGACACTATATTTGTGTACTGCTGCCCCCTTTTATATAATTCCTCACTGCATAGATATTCCATCAGTTTCTTTATTGTATTACAGTTATCTCGGCAGAACAAGGCGCGTAAAGTAAAACCTAAGTTTGGACTTTTGGAAATTATTTTCTGAAATCCTACAGACAAAACACCCAAGAAAATAATTGGCAGATAAGATGTAAATTAATAGTTTTGCTTGGGCAGTGTTTTTTCCCCCCAAAAGAATTGTACTTAAGATTTTAGAACATAATGCCAAGAGGATATGGAAGGACAACGGCCACACTGTGATTGATGCTTTTGCCACTTTAAGAATTAGGTGCAGCAATGACGAGTCCGATCATTCACATGCAGAGGGTCTTTACGCTTCATTAAGTCTGTTATCGTTGGCATCACTGCAGCCTGATCTATCGGACTAAGGTACCAAAAGAATATAAAATTTAAACAAGTATCGACTGCTGGCCCTCGGAGCAGGTTGAGGAGCATCGCTGAAGCACTAGACTACATTCAAACAGCATTCTTTGTTTTTTTTTGGTTGGCCTGCGGTGGCTGAGGGTTGGAGTTGCTCAGAAGAGACTCTGCTGGTGTCTGGGTGAGAGTTAAAGCAACTGAGAGGATTCTTTGTCAGAATGAAAACCGCTGAGCTCTTCTCAGTCTCATCTGACATTCCTGAAGCTTCACCGTGAGCCTGAATGCAAACCGAAGGAAAAACCTGCACATTTAAGAGGACAAGCTTCATAACGGACTTTAACACGAGGTCAATCAAACGAGGATGTTGGGGATAAAACTCCCTATAACCACAGTTTCTTTGTGTCGTATCTGACATCTCAAACAGAGGCTGTGAGAAACTTAATGTGCATCTTTGCCTGTTTGGTATTGAATTAATCCTTAATGCTTCTAGGAGATACAATGCTCACATCTTGCTTTACAAAAGTGCAGCAAAGAGTAGAAATAATGTGCATGTGACCCAAGATTAACTTCTCACCATCTTGCCACATTTCTGTAAGGCGCTGGTGGACGTATAATGCCCCGTAAACTCCTACCACGAGTTGGTTTGGGCAAAAATCCAAACAGATCTGCTGCAGTAGACAGAGCATGCTGACATAAGAGTGAACTGATAATCCCGACCTGCAGGACCGCTGGGGCAGTGAGGTGAGAAACATCCTGCATTTGCTGGGTCAGATTACATATCTTAGATGTTTTCATGCATATTTGTGATTTGTTATTTAAAAGCACCAGCTAATGCTTGTGCTATAGAAGGAAAACATACCCTATTTTGTCATTTTGCTTGATATTACAATATATACAAATTTGCTGCATGATCAGGCTTTGTTAGGATTTTAATTTTTAGCAAAGCGACTAAATACAATTGAGTTTTGTGCACTGAAAGACATTACAATCATATTTCCAGAACAGTAAACAAATGAGCCTCAGAAATGTCTTCTCTGCCTAACAGCTCCCACAGAAAGACCTCTGCTCCCCTGTTGTTATAAAGAATTTGTTGGTACTACATTAGCAGAGAATTATCTTTGTAAGGCTATTTTAAGATCCAATATAAATCCATCCATCCATTATCTNATTCACTTTACTTGAATTTTCTTTTATGGAAGATAAAGCTAAATCTTGCTAGAATTACATTTGATTTTTTAAAAATATATTTATTCAGCTTTAATCTGACAAAGACAAAATGCAGATGACAGAAACTGAAGGTGACAATACAGATCAAACAGTTAATTTATGGACCTGTGACTGTAAAGTCTTAGTGTGACCCAGTAGTCTAACAATGATTTGGAGATTTGCAGCTGAAAATTCTGTCTGTCGACTACATGCAGCCCATCTTCTAACTCCCTTTTAAACTACTTTTACTCTTGTTTAGCGCAAGTCCTTCCAGTGGCAACCCCATCATTCTCACTCAGAACGATTCGCATCATTTCCACAATGACGTGCTACCCTGTGATAGGAATTGACCTTAAATGTGGACCAATAACAAACAAATAAAATGTCCATTGGTCAGTGTAACAAACAAAAAAGCAATAGCTAACTGGGATATTTTTTTCTAAAGACGTAAACTTTAGAAATGAAACTGTGTGCACCAGACAGCTCCTTCAGGCTCATCAAGAGAGGAGTCACACAGAAAGTCAGACTTTGAAGAAAACCTGCCAGCGAGCAGGTTAGGAGTCAAATTACTGCCCACAGAGTTTCACTCGTCTAAGGATTCACCAAATCCACATTTAAGACCATTATAAGTCCGCTTATAATCAGCAGCAGTCTGGACATTTGGTTCAACTTTGACAAAGGCTTGTTACATAAAATGCAGAACAGCTGCATCACTGGGTATCAAACAAACTCAGACCATAGGATGCCGATTGTCTTATTGACAAGGAACAGGAACAAACTCTCCAAATTGTGTTAAAGAACTAAAAAAAAAAAAAAAAAAAAAAGCTGCATACTCTTGATCACTTGAACTCACTTATATGTCTATTTGTTCATCAGAAGTGTCCAATAGGTGCCATCCAGGAAGCATTAATGCAAATTCTAAATGGAGGGAATGTTCACTGTCTTTACCACAAACTAAGCCTTCTATGTTACAAGCTTTGATGGCAGCCTACAATTTTCCCAGCTAACAACAAGGATGATCTCTATCAGATGGCTGAGACA